CGTGTCTCCCGACCAAAAATCAATTCAGGACACCTTGAGGAGGCTTACCGCTGACCACAGGATGATCCATGACATACGAAGTAGGTTCTGCGCTCTGATCCTGGTGCTCTTCCGACTCCTGTTTATCTCGCGTCTACGTCCGATTCTTGAATGCGGTATTCCTGCCACCTATTCCCTCACCAACTTCGGATGTAATATGATTGCGAAGGTCCAACGGAGCGGATCTGGATCTTCTTCTGAGTTGTGTGATCTACCCTATACTCTCCGACTGCAACACTTGAACCTGTTCTCCCTGAATTACCGTAACTGTCGTGGAGACTTACTTTTCACTCTACGTATCCTTAGAGGATGGTTGGCGAGAGAGCTGCAGAAGTTCCTTCATCTCAACGCTAGAACATCGACTAAAGGTCACACATGGGAAGTATTCAAGCCGATGAGCCCCGAGTGCGGACCAATCTTGTTCTATCCACCCGTCTAGTGAATGACTGGAACCACTTGCCGGAGTTCGTGGATGATGCACAAACGGGACAAGGTTTCAAAAGATTGATGCATTGTTGCTAAGTCTGCTAGGATCTTGGTGTTTACATTGCAGCTTTGGCGGCCCACTGCGAAGCTCCGTCTCGCAATGGTCAACTCATGCCAGTAATGATCTGGTAGTGATGGAGTTGACAAAGTCTATTCTTTCTGCTCTCTACTATCCAACAATCCAATGCATTTTTTGTACTTGAGGATGCAACGTAGACTCACGATAACCATCTGTCAAAGATAGCACTTCTAGAAGTGCAACTACTTCAGATTGAGTCTGAAAATATGAAGGCATTGAATAATTGCTGCATGATATGTCCATCACCCAGCCATACCGGGTTTCTCTTCTCTGAAACATAGAAAACACAGCGAATCACTTTTGATCGATTTGTTTTGGGCAGTACCGTAGATGGAAGGTTTGGTTATTCAAATCAGGCATTTATAGTTCCTTTGTGATGGCATTTGAAAGCGCCAGCCAACTATGGAGCGACAATTGATTACATTTTCATTGAACTGGCCTGCAAGTTACGGTCACAAGACCGTCCATAATTAGAGTAAATGAAAAGTACATTAAGTGACAACTATAGACTTGCGAAACTATGGCATTTCGAGAGTATCCCAACATAGCTGTGAAGGCAGTCCTTCGGTGTGATTTTTCCTTTGCATATTGTTCACGTGAAATCATCATACTTGTCTACAATCGCACTTGAGAAACGTATGGGCAGAGAGCTACTCCTGCATGCTATGGATTTTGACTGTACTTATTCGCACACTAGTGTGTAGGTCGACCTACACAGATTTATGGAACAAGTGACCAGAAGCAGTTGGGTGCTGGCAATTTTGCTGTTACCCTCTAGGATAGCACGGTGGGTTATGTTTCCTTTAACGTAATCTAATATATCTCTCATAAATGTAACAGTTTAGCGAAGATCATATATACAACTCAGTTATCCTAATGGAAGGCGCTTTCCAGAATGACCGGTAGGTGGAGAATGACTCGTTTATGCACAAACCACGGTGCGCCAAAATCGAGTGTTTATTTAGATTTTTGTTCACACTTTGTTCCGTGTGATGGTGATATGTGCAGATGTGTCCGTTGATTTCCACAGAAACTTATTCGAACGGACTGTTTGGACTAGTCACATGAACGAAGAATGACGTGTTTATCGCAACTACATGCCAAGTCCTTGATATGTTAAAACAACTCTGGTCTCACGTATAACTTATACCGACCACCTCTCTAGCAATGAGCGTACTCAGTGCCGTGTATCTGATGCAGGAACTAGGAAAGAACTGCTAAACACCGTTACATCACGCATTAGGTTCCTATGGCTGGGCCACCTGTTGCTCATGACAGCACACCGACTCCTGCGAAATGCGTTGTCTGCGCGCTCGAGATCTGGATGGAATAAGTGGGGGGACTTGGTCAAGTGGACTGAAGTCCCTCATTTCAAAGTTGGCGTCGGCTGGTGTTTCCTGACTGCCGGCTGGATTCGGAGGACGATGAACACGTTCAGCTGGAGATAGCAATTGACATGGCAAAGTGGCGAGTTCAGCGGCGTTTGTGCTGTGAGTCTCTTTATCCCTCCTCTCTCCTATAGCTACCCCCTCCACCAACAACACATAATACGATACGTTGCTTCTGTGGTTATTTTTTAACTTTTTGTGTGTGTAACCTTAAACGCTTATCTTCTTTGCATTGCGACACCTTAGATGAGGTGTGTTCTTCGTCATATGCCAACGTGTATTGACGATGACGATGACCTAACACAGCATCCATCTGGCACTGACCGGTGATAGGCTTAAGTAAGTCACTTGTTTGCGAGGTTACTTTGGCAAATTATTGCCTTGATTTCCTCTGGTTTCGGAAGAATTGTGTTGGGAATAAGGGCAACCTAGCCGAATCGACTGCTTGCAATCGCAGGCAGGTAAAACCGTTTAGGTAAGGGACAGAATGACATACAATCCAATGTACCTGCGCCGTCAAAGGTACCAGTGAACCAAAAATAATCCGTGTCACAAAGTAGTAATTTTGTTACTTGTTGTAGAGCACTAGGTATCATGAATTCTTGTCTCCGTATACAAACTAGTGTCATATTTGAGTCGGAAGACGCAAAACAACTGACGTACTTTCCCAGTTGTGTTCTCTGTCTGTTCAGGTTCATATTGGGCGCACGTGATTAATTCTGAGCAAGTAGTTGGGTTCAAGTTCTCGGTCCTCAAGCTACAATGACTTGCCTTAACTCTCGTGGCCTAGGCCGCTGCTGTTTTTTCTCAGTTCCCATAAGAAGTACATACTTTGTTATGCATCAAAGTCCTAATTTTTTTATCCCGTATATAAAAAACTCTACTTGAATTCTTTATGGTCGGACTTCCCCCGCGTGCTTTGAGGAGTTCATAGCTCAATGTGGCAAGCTTATGTTCCCAAACATAGGGAGCACGCGTCAGCTACTATAGCGACCAAACTGGAGCTTAAAGTGATGCGATAGTTTACGTACCTGCGTAACCCATTGAGCCGCACGCTAATGGTTCAGATTCAGAATGAAGCAGTTCCACAACCGAATCCCCTTCAGAGGTTAGGGAGAGGTCGAAGGCTTTAGTCCTCTCAAACCCAATCACAGGAGACAAGTGATGAATTACAACCTCACAACTGGACTTGTATAGAGCACGATTGCCGCGCATTATTTCTGACAGTAGTAGAGCACCATCTGTGCATTGTGGGTTGCTGCCACACTCCTTCAGCCAGACAACCCTGATCAAATGGGTGCAAACCCGCTCATGCCCACCTTCGGCAACCGCTGGTCGCAACTTCGTAACATACCGCTGTCGAAAAACATGTGATTTGTTCTAAATTTTCAGAAAAACCAAAGTAGTTTCACTAATATTAAAGTTACACAGATCCGTTGTCTGTATCAAGCGTTCACAAATGAAACGGATTGAAAAGGAGGAGAACGCCCTGCGAATAACATGCAAAGGAAAGCAACTGACACAATTACTCCGTCATAGAACTAACGATCGGGTGTCTTTAATCAACGAACTGATCTATGAGGAGGGTCGCCACCTTAAGGATCCACCTGGGTTACTCAACAAAGGCTACACATTGACTGTGCGGTCCATAAAGCTTATTTCCAGATGCAGCGGATTTTCCAGTCTCCTGTGGATTTTATTGTCAACGATCACCCCGACGCTTGTATCAGTGTTACCTCCAAAAGTCTAAAAGACCCACTTCATCCACTGCATTTTGACCTATCAAAATATTATATATTCCTTCTACCCGCTCCAAATTTAAGGTTCTATTTTCTCGTACTGCATCTTACCGCAATTCTGTTCTACCGTACCTGTCCCGCTTGCTTGTTGACCCAGCCGAAAGTACCAGTATGATGCGAAAGTATTTGCTCGAGTAACATGTATAAACATTTCTGACCTTTATTTTTCATTTATCAGTAATTTCATATACTTAACCATCCGCAGTGACAGTGTAACACGCGGAAAATGCACCTACTCGGGTGCAGAAAGCCTATTTTGACTTGACTTGACAATCAAAAGCGTATTCCAACGTAGGTTCAACGTTTGTGCACAGCGAAAATCAACTTCCAAATTGTTATGAAGTAATGTTGAGTATTTAGACTTAAGCTCAAAAGTATTTTGTGTTAGCAATATGTGACCGAAACATGTTGGTGCGACAGCAGACAAATCGGTCACTCAGCGGCAGTCTTTCAGTCAATTGGGTTAACGGGGTATGCGATTTTATTCAAAAGCGTAGCAGTCTGGAGATTCCCCGGTTTGTCTGCATAAAATTCCCAATTTACTATTTCCTTGTACACCTAGGCGACCGATGCGGGTTGTTGAACTGATTGCTTGAGTTGAACATTGCTCTTTTGCTTGGCACTCGTGTCAGTTTCAACTCGCAACTGTCCTATGTGCTGTGCATTCTGTGTTACCCTAACTAGCTGTTTTCAAAGGTATCGTTCATTTATAGCTTGGGAAACAGGGAAGTTTTTCTGTTCCAATGAAAGATTCCCTGAAACTCGGTCTATCTTCTGGAATCGCTCTCCAGGCTTCCGCTAATTTCTACTCGCCAAATGAGTGACTCCAACGTGACCGGCGGATAGGAAATGGCTTGTAGGGTAAGGCCGTGGGCGTTAAAGACGCGCTATGGCATTCGATGTCATATTGAGACGTAGTACGCTATGTCTTCTTTACCTTCATATTTATACGAGTGGCCGAAAATACGCCGCAATAGGACAACCATCTACCGGTGCTGACATCGAAGTGCTATACAAGGCAGATTTTGCTTTCTATTCGTGAATCGAACAATAGGGGTTTTATTTTACTACAGATGTTGTCTTACGTGGTAGTGTCGCATGCGTGGGCGCGTCAGGTACACTGGGATCTTCAGCAGTGGCTGTTTTCGCTGAAGTGAACCACGACAAATATGTTACATGGCACTTATACTTTGTTCTCATTGTCAACAGGGAAACAGAATTACGTGAAAAATTGAAAGCATTGAGGCTCAACATTAAATACAAGGAAACGGAGGGGCTACACCTCATCAGCCAGGGTAAACAAACGATTGCGCATTTGAAGGGCCAAGTTCAGGTAAGCTGCTATTCATCCTGCTGCAATTGAATCATAAAGAATTATTCTCCCAAATTTCGTTTGTTGAGTAAGGCGTTTTGTTTAATTGTTGTCGCGCAGAAGAAATCTTAGATAATGCTTAGAGAAATCATTGGAATAAGGAAACTATTCTGTATGATCCTGGGCTAAAAAGATGAAAAGTCACGATTTGAGGCAAAATAGACAACTTCCGATGGACTTTACTAAGGGAAGTTGGTTCACATCGGGAGCTGATTTTTTTCGGCTGAAGCTAAGTATCCACGGAAATACTAGGTCGCACCTGATTTGCAGAAGTTGACTGTCACAGATCTCAACCTGGCTCCCACTTTACGGAGTATGCCGTACGAGGCCCGATGTAGGAGACTAGGGCTGTATACTCTGTCATCTCGTCGGGTTCGAGTTGATGTTCCAGTGACGCACCACATATTTCACCTGGTCCATTTCCCTGTGTTAAGGCCGTTGCTGCACCTTCGCGCATCAAGGCATCACATACGGACACCGGTACAAACTGGTGGTACCGGATTTAAAGTGCATCGCTCACACTCTGTGCTTCGAGCGTCGGTGGTGAAATATTGGAACAAGTTGTCTGAGGCGCTAGTCAAGGCGAAATTGGTGTCGGAATTTAACAGCTTTCTTGACGCGCATTTTACGGGCTACAGGTATAGGGAGCCTATTGCACCCGGATAAGGTGTGCGGTTGCAATATGCTGTCACAGCACAGGAATCCGCGACGTGATTCCGAGCATACGTCCGATCCCCCTACGATTGAGCAAAACAGATTTTTATCTTTTCGCTTTATATTCTCAGTATTTGGCACACGAACGACACACTATTTATGTAGTACAATGAGTCAAAAATCTCATACGTTAACTTGATAGGTTAGTAAATAGTATACTTGCACTAGCAAGTATAGGTAGTCCACTGCTGGGATGACCATCACACTCACCTCAACGAGAGTGGACATTATCGTAGTGCGATGGCTTGCGTACTTCTGCTGTCTGTTGAGCTATGCTGGGTGGCACTTTCCAACTGCCACTCATACTAGACAGGTCAATAGTTAAGGGTCAGACTAAGACAGTCTCACAATCCAATTCTGTTCAGAGGTTGGGGAGAGGTCGTTGGCACTGTCCCTTTAAAACCTAGCCATGCGAGACAAAAGGTCTACGGGTTATAAGCTCATAGCTCGATTGGTGTAGACAACGAACACCACGCACTGTCTCTGACGGTGGGTGGTCACCTTCCGGTGCTCAGTGCTTTGCTACCGCCCGACTCAAGCCAAGCAGCCCCTGATCACATTGGTGCAAACTCGTCAACTCTCACCTGCGACTAGCCGTGGTCGCAGATGCGTAACAGAATACAGTCGTAAAACACATGTGCATTGTTCTAAATATTCAAAGGTTTTGTGTGACAGGCCTTGGGCAGATCCCAATGGGTCTATGCAATCACATTCCTGAGCTGGACTTGCTCTCCACTGCCATGTGAGTCCGACTATTAAGCCAATCCCCTAGGTAGGGTCCTTCAAGCGAATTTCTGTACCCCTCACTGCCTTGTGGGTCAGACGGTTGGGTCAAAGGCTAGACGCTAGGCAAATCGAATAAAACCTCTTTTTCTTCTGGGCGACCGGAGTGTATCATCTGCCCCGTCTACCCAGTCGACAATACCCACTCTTCTACTTATTTTTCTCTCCCTTCTAAACTCGCTTCTTCTCATTCCTTTGAGACTGCCGCGCACCTTGCAGCTCTTGCCATCGATCCATGTAGCTTTTCCATCAAATCTAGAGCTTTATTTCAAATACGCTCTTTTGTCGCCCGCACCCCGCGTCAGCTCGGCCAGCATGCAGCGCTGGCTCTCAATCCACTCTCTTGGTACTGATGTGTACTGTGTCTCCGAAACACGCATACAAGAGACGACAGCGTTGTGACGAACCTTCGACTCTCTGTTTCCGAATCTTCTGACAATTAAAACACTCTTCTCATCTCTGGCGATACTGAGCCAACAGCATAAAGTATTTACGGTGTTGGTATCGCCCCCAGTAAACATGCTAAAAGCAATTACTCGACTGGGTGCTGGTGGGTACTCAGTTTCAGCGTGTCCGGAACTCCAAGAAACCACGTCTGACAAGGACTCTTCGAGTAGACTGAGAACCCTGGTGGGCTGCAAAGGTCCTTGCGACGAAGAAAGCCAGTGCTATTCGAAACAGCCGAGTGCTATTCCAGCTTATCTGAAACACGCGACCGAGGAATCCTTCAGTTAAAGAGACAAAATCTGAGAAAGATGAGTATCTGTTCCATTCTCAGCCTCGTCGAGTAGCCTGTCAGGCAGTTGAGCAAGCCTGCTGCGACTCACACAATTGCCGAATCACCTGAACCGAGTGGGAAGTTGACATCACACCTACTTCGGAAAATTCGTTATGTGCTTTCCATGCTGAAACGAAACAAGTCTGCTGGACCTTGTGACCTTCCTCCATATTTGCTGAAAGATGGAAGTGACTCTTTACTGCCTGGGCTTGCTCCTCTATTTAACGCGATTTGAAACAGTGAAGAGGTGTCTTCAGACTGGCGAATGCCATCGGTCGTTCTCATCTTCAAGCAGGGTTAGTGCACTTTGTGTGAAAATCATCGAGTCCTTTGACTTATTTTCATTGCCCCAAACTTCTCACGGATATCATTATCAACGACTTACTGATCCCTGTGAGAACCGAATCAGTGAAAACCTGGTTGTGTTCCGCCCTGGCCGTGGTTGCATCGACCACATAGTTAGTCTTCGTTAACTTTTAGAGTAGACACACTTACAGACGACCGATTATATTGGACGGTCAGTGCGACTACCCCTTATGAATAGGAATGATGGCCTCTTGTTACCATACTGGTGAAATCTGGTCCTCCTCTATACTTTGCTGATAGCAAAACGACAGTGGTTGTGTTAGATCACTGCCTACTACCTGCAGAGTCTTCACTCGAATGTTATTGAGTATAGGAGAACTGGATACGCATGGATAGCAACTAATTCAAAACAGTTTCTGCAGTGAAAATGATGTTGAACAAACCTGACAGTGGAGTAATAGAAACGAGAAGCGTATTTGTGCTCATAACCCTCTGGAACGTATGGGGGTAACGAAACCGTAAGAGATCGGCTGCTACCATCGCTGACCGCGTGCACCCATCAGTAGCTGTACCTACGGACACAGCAGATTGTTAAATCACCGTGTGCTGGATAGTACTTTGGCTTCAGATTACTGCGTTATATTTTTCTGTGTAAATTGTGCACCTATATTCTTCTTTTGGTGTATTTTCCAATCGGTACGAATTTAGTGGATAATCTTTGGCTAATTCCGGAGATCTCATTGATTGGCCAACTGCTGTCTGTGTCCGCCACCTTCGATTTGCTTTACCTTGTGATGCTGTCTCCAGCTACTTGTGATTCGTGTTCGAAAATTGTTGGACATAAGGCTCATGCACTTCGGTGCTTCGGTTGCGACGCTTTGTTCCATACTTCGTGCATTGACTTATCCGTTGACGTGTTTCGAACAACTCGACGTCCGATATCTGTTTTTCCAAGTTACATGTGATAAATGTTGCGGTGCAAGACATCAAAATACACAGGACCGCCAACAACTACGGGCAAACCTCACTTCCAGGCAGAAACAACTCGTTCACCACGTGGGGTCAAACCTCCACTGTAGTGTAACTCTGTCACCGCGCTTTCCCTTGTCACTCCGCGATCTGCACCATCACCAACGTCTTCGACCCCGGCCGAGCCTCAGGTTCAATGTTCCCCACCGATAAAAGACTCAGACGCGTAACCTACGAAATGCTACTTCGCTGATCAGTCCGTTGATTTCTCAAAGCCTGTCTGTGAAGCTCTGAACACCGAGGATCCATGGACCACTCGAAAGCACAAAGTGCCACGTAAGCAAGTTCATGCGAACCCCCCCCCCTCTGATACACAACAACCAAAACCGATAAGCGCCTCTAGTCCGGCTCCCACATGTTCCGCACCCATTTCACTGAGGCGTCATAGTCTCATGGTCTTACGCGTATCAGAGTCAAAAGATGAAAACCGTCAGATACGTTGTGATCACGAGGTTGCGTTCCTCCAGGGGCTCGTGAGGCTAGCCACTGTCCTCTGCACAGTTCGTAACTGGCATAGCAGTGGGAGATGATCCGGGCTATATCATAGTCAACTATCACCCACACAGATCCGCGGCTGTCTCCCATGGCGAAGTGGTACTAGCTGCTGGCATTCTGAAGTCATGGAGACGGAACCCAACAAGGATCCGCTGGGAGGCGCACTACCGACGAGACCCAGGAGGTCGAAACGCCGGCGTCTGGTGCTTTTCCTGACTAGCCTAGGCCTACTGCGTAGATGTGACGCCGATGAATTAGCTGAATTATACAACAGAACCAATTGGAGCATGGAAGTGCGGGTGAAACCCATCGTGGAAATACCCTGCATGGAAGCAAGTCCCCTGGGGACAGTTCCATGGATGACCGTATTACTTTACTTGCACTTTCCGCAAAATCTACATTTATTGTTGTTCCCAGTTTCTTTATCTCTCTACTTTTTCCAAACTGCTAATCATTTCAAAAATCCATATGAGAACCACTGATCAAAAAACGAATAATTAACTATATTATGCGATCACGTTGTACATGTTGATAAGACCACCCAATTGGTCTGTGCCTCGCACTGCTGAGGAATAAAACGTTTATTTATTTATAAAAAGACTCAGTACTACTCATCTGAAATCTGTGTTTGTTTTTAAGGTGACCGTTGGTTTCCCGGCCTTTAATCGTTTTTTGGTTGGTCATCGGTTTATGAATTTCATTCGATCTTCGTCCCTTTACAGTGTTCCAGATCAGAAGTTTTACTGCTGCTTCACTCTGTCTTGTGGTATGCTCTGGGTGCTGTTGTGTTGGTCTCTTCGCTGGACTGTGGAGACAAAGAATTTTCTGCGGTTGTAACTTCCATAGAATTCTTGAC